GAGAATCATGACAAAACAAGGTCTACCCTAATATTATTTATGTTTTTTTTTACATTTTAAACTAATTGGTAAATCAGATATTTACCCTTCATGTGATAGTAAATCAATTAAAAATTTAACTATCTCCGAGGTGGGAAAAAAAATTCAAAATTATATTGAATGACTGGGCTTGGAACCTCAAAATTTATATTAGCTTGCACCTGACATGGGAATATCTTTTACAAATTATTAAGGGTTGAGCTGGGCTGGATAAACTTTTTAATAATTATATGCTTCCTAATATTGTGAGCTTGGACCTGGCATGACACTATCGAGGTTTATAATAAAAGTATTACTTTTATTTCTTCTAAAAATTTAATAGATAACCCCCAATTAAATTTATCCTACCCAGAGTCTAACCCCCCTCCCCCCTTTAAATCTTACTCACTACCCCTCTCAAAAAATTTCAATGCAAAATGTTCCAACCCTCCCGCTCATGTAGACGCTTTTGATATCAATAATTCAGTTCATCCTACCACGGCAGTTATTAAGAAAGTGATACTTTTCGGACATATCAATAATTGAGGGAATCTGTACATCACTACTTCTGCTATCACTTAACAGATATTTAAAAAATAACCCAGCACAATAATAGACCTAAGGGGTATTCTCTCAGTTATTTCCAAAATTATGTATGGGGCCAATTACAGCTGATAAACCTAAAAATGACGTTAGACCGATAGTCATTAGCATTACCTGGCGTCGATAACATGCCAAAATAGTAATGAGCGGGAAACTGTTTATAATATCACGCAATATATGTATCAATCAATTATAAATTAATGTTAGTCGGGTGTGGACATGGCCAGAATGTACATAGATACCAATACAACAGATGTCCGTCAAAATCTGATGTAGGGAATTCCTAAAGTCTGTTCACTCTTATTATCCAGAATTTTCCCAATTCTTGCAGAACTGTCACTCCAGGTTACACTTCACTTATGGAAATTAAATAATTCCATCATTAGAAGGCATTCAGAGTGAACTGCTTGGACCAATTATCTTGTCTTGGAAAGACATCATTCACAAATGCAAGCTCAATTTACATTATAGTATATAAATGATAGAAAAATTTGTCTCGCCAGACCAAGTAGCAGGAGAAATAAAATCCTATGATAGGTCTATAAATAAATCCGCTTAAGAGTGAGTACTTAAACATAATATTCAAAATGATTCTTCAACCGTAATGAGAAAGTTCCTCATACATTGGCGTAGCTAGGAATTTTTCTTAGAGGGGGTCCATACATATAAAAGCCTGGGAGGCTTCGCCCCCCAGACCCCAATTAACGAGCCTTCGGCCCTTTTCCCCGACCTTCGGCCGATTTAATCTTACAAATCATAACCATATCTTCTATAATATATAATAAATACATTTTTTAAATGTATCAATATGTTATTATAATTTAGTAGACCATTCTCAATGACTTTATAATAATACTATCCAGAATAATTTCAATAGTAATATAATCCTTTCACAAACATCAAAACCAGAAAAATATAAATATTAATGGCATTTATTTAATATAAAGTCACTTTTAAGTCTTTTGAACGTATATTCTAGAAAAAAGATTTAGCTCTGGGAGGGGTCCAAACCCGAAAACCACCCCCGTAGCTACGCCACTGTCCTCATATATGTAGGTCAGCCTAAAAAATGAAGACTCCTCTGGATTTTTTGGAAACAGTTCATTATACATATGACGAGATCCTACTGCGTCTCCGAGCATTTTTCCTGAAAAAATTTCCTTATTATTTCTAAGATTTTTTATATCTCACTATTAGCACGTATTTTTCAATCCTGCCAGCCTGCTCATGGATAAAAATCTTGATAGAATGAATAATTAATTTTAAGTTCGGAGAATTATATTGACTATAGCCCACCCTACCCATAGACAGAATTGGTATACGCTCACTTCTCATACGTGCCACAATCATCAAGTTTATGACATATCAGGCCATCGACCTTTGGAAAGAAATAAAGATCCTTCTTTAGTCAACCCTTCTTAAAGCATTGCAGAGACTGGGATTTATCGCTGGTTTACAATTCTGTCGCATTTCTTAAACCGAGAATCCGACCTCTTGAACATTTCCTTTTATTTTCAACTTCTGAAAGCGATTATTAATTGAAACCATCTCTTCAAATAATCTTGCCTTCGTCACGCAATTGGATTCAGACTTAATTTCGATATAGTCAAACCCTGCCCGTCCGAAAACCCGGCCTTCAAGCAAGGAAAATTAAAAAAATTAATGGGAGGATCGAGCAATTTTTTTCAAGCCGTACAATTTAAATTAAATAGGGCCTAGCAAGACATCAAAATTTTGATATACATTTTTTAAAGCTAATATTTTGATTAATACTATTTTAAAATAAATTACAATATGGTTATATCTTTGTATTTTAAGATCTGTCTAACTAAAATAAAGAGGGGTGATGTAATATACACTTCAAACTATTTCTATAAATAATATATTAAATTCACAAAAAATACTATTTTAAAATAAATTACAATATGGTTATATCTTTGTATTTTAAGATCTGTCTAACTAAAATAAAGAGGGGTGATGTAATATACACTTCAAACTATTTCTATAAATAATATATTAAATTCACAAAAAATACAATTTATTAATGACATGAACCAATTACAAATATAGATATCAAATACAATTGATTTATAAAAAGTTGTTTTAGAAATATAGTCATAGAGAGCCTAATTAATATCGGAGAAAAATTAGATATAGATATTAAAAATACGATGGCCAGAAAATTCGTACTAAAAAATTATATAGCCGGTCGGACTGGCCGGCCTTAAATTTATTTTTGTAAAATTTTTATAGGCCGAACAACTTATGCAAAAATTCTCATCGGGCTGAAGTAGTCCGGGCTTTGCAGAGCATTGTTAGTAATACACTCATATTCATTATTTAAAACTCCTGTTAACTCAAAAGGTCACTAAACCCTGCATGCGAAAATGAAAAGACAGATTTCTTAGATATATTAAATGCAATGACACTATATCTTATCCTTGTAATCTTATGGAATTCCTTCTACCCTCCAACTGACTGGACTTAGCAACCAGATGGTAAACGTCTTGATTGCTCATCCAAGATCCCATAGAAGAGTAATGAGTTCTTAATCTGGAACTTTTCTTGTGTATATCCATTAGCATCCTTCAACCAAAATCATGATGCTATAGCTGAAGCAGAATGGAGCAAATGTATCAACTATTTATGCGTTGTCCCAATCATTTATTAATATTAATAATTGTTATATCTCCAATTTTATTTGGCACCCTAACTTCTTCCGGGATCTAGGGTATCACATTATATCTAAGACCTAAAATCGAAACTGTAAAAATCATATCTTGAGTGACTTAGTTAATGTAAAGTCTATTGTAATCAGATTGAACAAATAGAATAATGTCATAAAAACGTTTATCCAATAAAATTGCGAATACAAATATTATTATAATGTCGTAAAAACGTTTATCCAATATAATTGAAAATACAAATATTAGTGAACAAAGATAAATCTTAATATTCCCAGAAATCGAATAATTTTTTGCCAATTATAAAAAAAGTCATGAAAACGTCAGTCACGTCATAAACGAAGGCCCACAAAGAGCCGTAATTAATATAATACAAGCTAACTATATTAATTTTATATTCTTCGTTGATGGTTAAACATTCATTAATAAGTAGAGTCTTTAACCAATTTTACGTCACATGACCTCCTAATATCGGGCAACAACCATTATCTATCAATCCACGTTCTAGGCTTAAAATCCTATCGAAAAACCGAGTTCAAAAAAATGCCCCCATATACCTTCTTGTACAAATTATATAAACTTCATATTGCCACTAATTTTGCAAAAAAAATAGTGAATATAATTATATGTACAAGTATTATACCTCAAATAAATTTATATTTTTCATTTAAAAAGTATAAATATTACATAATTATACGTAAAATTAGTTATATCAGGAGACAAACAGTTTTTTAAAGCATATTGAAACATGGGGATTAGAAGCTCTTTAAATGGCTGGAAACGAGGTGCTCGGAACCTAGGAGAAGTAAAGTGAGCCAGGATTATTTGTTCAGTCGAGAAATGAATCCTGAGAGGAAATAAAATCATTAAATTGTTCACATAATATATAATCAAGATTTATTTACAATTATTTATATTTAAAAAATTTGGCGATATTATGCAACTAAATTTTTATACATTTAAATAATGAGCTTCGTCGATTGTGGGCTAGAAATATTTTTTGGATGGATAGAAGTAAAGTTAAACATTAAAATTTTTTTGAATAAAAAATATTAAACATATATTAATCTATATAATAGATACTTTAAAAAAATATATACTACAGGGTTAGTACTTTAAACTATATTATTTGTAGCGAATTCTTATTTTTAAGTTTATCATAAATGCAAATATTGATAAAATGTAAATGTATAAATAGGGAAATATTTGGTATTGGTGTCATAAATGATAAATAATAGATTGCACTTGCCTTAACGCCAGGCCATATATTATGGCAAAATCTTAAATAAATAAAATGGTAGATATTTATAAATAGAACCAAGATTAAAAATAGTGAAATATAAGATGAGACTGCTAAAACGAAGTTCAATAACACTAGTTGAGACAGAATAATAGGATTTTAGAAAAACAAAGAGATAGATTTAAAAAACTAAAGTATATATTTATAGAAATTATTTGGGAGATATCAATTTTTATAGGTGTTGGTGATATTTATCATTATCCCTTATAATAAAATTACCTTATTTATTCATATTATTAACCATATATTCTATTAGAGAGGAAGATCTAACATCAAGAAATTTTGTTACTTAAATAGGTTTGTTACTCCATAGTTAAGAGTTTTCATTAAAATTAGTTAGGCAGCGATTCAGTGATAATTAAAAAAATGATGATCATATAATATTTTAAGAATAGTTTTGTATCAGTAATCATCGTCAGAAATCAATTTTTATAAATGTATCTTATAAGCCACGATTGTTGCGTGATCCAATTTTCCTGGGGCAGCAAATAACTCTCTTCTAGCCATTTTTCGTCTAGCTCTTTGATATTCAAAACGTCGTGATTCGTCCATATCTTTAGTGTTTCCTAGTTCTTAATTTTAAAAAGGTTTATTTAAAAGGTTTTTTGTTTGTTTAGCTTCGTCATAATATAAGCTAAAATCAACTGGTCATAAGAAATTTAGATATTCGGTTTACAATCTAGACTTAAAATGTAATTTTCTTTCCATTTAGAGCATTAACCATTTATTTTATGAAAAACAATATTTTTGCTTATTTATTATACTATCTTCCCTTTTTCTATATTTTCTCAAAATGTTGGCTTTTGCCTCAACGTGGGAGGAAGGAGATAATATTTTTGAACGAATGGAGGTTAAAAAGTCTCTGACGTGGGTGAACTGATCATAAGGGCAGATGGGAAAAATGCCACGAGGCCAGGACAAAATTCAGATAATTTTTGGGGCTGATTGAAGAAAATGTTATATTAAAAAATTCATTAAATTTTATATAATAAACAAAAAAAATGAATCAAAAACTTTTCATAACATAGGAATTACATTCACATGCATTTATTTGTAAATATTAATTTTGTTAGCTCAGGTTTTTTATTTTAAAAAAGTATTTATTATATTATAAGTATCGATGTTTACATAAAGGTATTTTATAATAATGGCAACGGACAGAATATATTATTATCAGAAAATCTATCAGCTATTAATTATTTGGATTATTATAGGCGGAAACACCTCAATTCTATAATGATCAATAGGGTTATTAGGTCGTTCGTCTCTACATTTTGAATATATTTTTGTAAGATTAATTCTGTGAAAAGATCATTCACATTCCATAAAAATATTCCCAGGTAAAATTTTATCAGTTAATAGTTTATTTAATTTGAGTGCCATATCTTTTGCTTTACTTTCAATTGAAATAAAATTGAAATTGATAATTTGGCAAATTCAACCATAGTCTATGCAGTAATAATATCAATATTTTTTGTTTAAGTAGTGCGATAATGACCCAATTATTTCAAAAAAAGTGTACTATTATAATGTTTTTAAATTATAACAAGTTTTCAATAAATGATTATGCCTCTGAATAAGCTTTAACTTCATACGATTGTGAATCTATTATAAGACTCTTATTATAACAGGTTGCAAGAATCTTCTCCATATATTCATGTATCTGTATTTTAATCTGCTCCCAAAATTATCTATATTTTAATAGACCCTTAAAATTATCTGTATTTTGCCCCGGTCTCGTGGGCATTTTGCATATCCACTTATGGCCAACCCTGTCATCATGGATTTAAGGACATCTGCTAAATGAAGGGAATATATGTGATAGTTATGTCAATTGTGGCAAGGTGGAAGGATCTTGCTAGGTTTAAAAGGGAAGGGTGGTTGGAGAAGTATGCTAAACCCCCTCCCCCCAATTGCCCTGTTTATGTAGAAACTGGAAGTGACTCTAACCATGAATTGCAGAAAGGTATGATTATTATTGTTCAAATGAAAAGTGACTCATGTGAATATAAATCATACTGAGCCTAAATTCATGAAATAGACATTTTGTAGACGTAGAGAAGTTGTGTGATAGAGTACCGCATAAAGTTACAAATGAGAGTCAGGCGTAGAAAATTGGTTCAAAGAATAAGAGCCATGTACGTGGAGGAACACATGGTGGTCAAATCAACGGATGGGGATAGTAAAAGTTTTGAACAAGGTTTTGTCTAGAGCACCTTGTTATTTATCATAGTAATGGAGGTGGTGACTAGAGAGATACGTAAAGTACTTCCATGGGAGTTCTTGTATGCAAATTATCCGTAACGATGAAGAAAAGTGAAACGAACTTTAAGAATAAAATGCCTATTTTTAAACGTTATTTAAGAATAAATAGATAGAACCATACTTTAAAAGCTACTTTTGCTACTTAAAAAATTATTTAAATCTTAATTACTATTCTATGATATATTATATAGATAATAGTCAGAGACCTGCAGCGGTTAAATTTTGAAGCCTGAACACATCATGGGGTTTAAAAAAATTTCAAACCCGGGTAGAATTTTTGTTAAAATATTTGTGGCCCGATCCCAGTTTTCCTAATTTTAAGCCCTGGCCCCGAACTTTCAATATTTCGTTTGTTTAAATTATTTTAGAAGTATTATATAAATGGTTACAAAGTGAAACACAAATATAAGCAGAATGTTAAATGATCCATTATATAATCCAACTAATTAATTGATTTACCTACCTGATTTGTAATTATTTATAAGCCGGTCCCGATTTATTAAATGATATAATTTTAAATCGGCTCCGGACTGGATTTATTTATTTTCAGCTGATATTTTAAATTTCCCCTAGAAACATTTTACAAAATTATTATTAAAAATTACGAATTTTTAAATATATTTTTTTAGAAAAAATTCAGCCCGAACGTGAAAATGGGAAAAATTTAAATCTAGGCCAAACCTAAAAATTTGATTTCTGCAGGTCTTTGCAGTTGATACTTATTATAATTAATCTAAAACAAAAAGTAGCGCGCTCCTAGCAAAGATAGTTAATAGCTCTGGATAGATTATGATAGCGCATGTGAAATCTTCGAAACCACAAATAGTAAACAATTTCATAAAACGTTTATACTCTCATTAAATTATAAACAATTTCATTCACGAAAAATAAAAATGCAATCCAAATAACAAAAGGAAAAATTAATTTTTATTGTACTATTTATAACCTTCTATAAAATTTTTAGGGTTTTCCAAAATTCGCCTCTTGCTTTCGGTCACTTTAACGCAGTAATTGAGAAGTCTAGCACAGAGATCTCTAGCCGTTAATGAGTTTCTGAATGGTATATAGGTAGTAAAACACATTCAATAATATTTTTTTATTTTCAAATCGTTTTGTTTATTTTGTTCTTCTTGCTATACCTAAAATGAAATATTCGTTATTCAATTTTATTCGATTCGATAACAACATTATTCGATTTGAATAAGGAAAATATATTATTCGTGAAATAATTTTTTATCCATTATCGGATCGAATTATTCAAAATTATTCGTATAATTTAAAATTATTTAAGTATTTAACATGTTCCTTATATGGAACATTTTATTTTTTTACTTTATTTCCCAACAACTATAAATGACTTTAATTTTAATAATTTAATTTTTACAGAGTTTGAAAAATTTTTTAAAGAAAAAAGATTTTTGATCAAAATTTACCTAAAATTCCAAATAAGTTTAATAATTTTTTTTTTTAATTTTCATGAATAAAAAATCTTTCAAAATGAAATCACATTTTTGTTAAATGTGATTTTATCATTTTTAAAAATATTTTTAAAGAATTTATTTTTCGTATCGAATCGAATATAAATAAGGAATTATTCAGTACAATTATTCGATTTGGAAATATGAATAATGCAAATATTCAATTCAATTTGTATTTTTGTAGGTATACTTCCTACATTTTATATTATTCACTTTTAAAAATTTATTTTTGCTTCCCTGAATATTTTTTCATAACAAACTTTAGTCAAAATTAATAAGGTTAGCAAAATTTTATTTAAATCATGTTACCCAATGAGGTTATTAGGTAGAAATACGTCTTCCTCAATGGGATCTTGCAGATTCCATTCAAGATTAATCCTAGATAAGTCTTTATATGCTTCCTTTACATCATTAATATTACCGAAATATTTTTCCAATTCGCCTATGTTTTGTATATCCAAAATTATGCACCCCATCTGTTTTATAATATTTGTTTATTATTATAAATTTAAATTTTAGCTAATTTTCAAAAAGAAATGGTTGTCTATATTTAAAAGTAAATCTTTGAGATATGAAGCAATTTATATTTATATATCAGGGACCTAAACTGTTATCTATAAAGGTTCCGGCTTGGTTTGATTAAGGTTCAGGGGTAAAAAAATTCCGGTTTTAAAAAAATAATAAATTTTTTATATTTATATAAATTTTTCTTAAATAAAAATAAGAAAAACACTCAACATGAAATAATACTTGATAAGAATATGAGTGTGTAAAGATTAAAATAAATATGTGTAAGAGGGCGATTTAGGGTTAAAGCCTTTAGGCTTATTAATAATAAAAAAAACTTGCATTCAATTTAATAAAACTAAATGGATTACCGAAAGACTAAAATAAATTTAGAAAAAGCAATAACAATTTAAGAGTTAAATCCTATCTATCTTCTCCAAAGTTTAAAAAACAAAAAACTAATCACTATAACTGAAAAATAAAAATAGAGTGAAGAATGTAAAAAAAATAATAACTAACTAGGGAAAGTGTTACTTATCAAATATATTGTTTTAAATTACCCATATATAAAAGAAAACGGGTTTACACCGGTGCATATAAATTAAGTTCGGTTTGCTCTGTTTGGCGATTTGCTATAAGGGTTTGGTTATTTGAGAAAATTATAAAGGTTAATTCTGCTATAAATCGCTCCGGGTCCCTGATATTAATATTGCAATACAAAGTACAAATATAATCTAAACTCCAATCTAATAGTTTGATGTGTTTGTTGTACACTTTTAATAAAAATAATTGTAATTTAAAGCTTCACAAAATATCTTTAAAAAAATACTAGCGATAAACGTCGAATGAGTACTAGAGTGATCTTAATCATATTTTGAATTTAAGATAATCGATGTCTTAAATTATAAACTAATAAAAATATCAGAGACCTGCAGAAGTACCATTTGTACAACCCGGCCCGAATTTGTTTTCAAAATTTTTTTCCAGCCTGACTCGGGTTTTCAGGGTTGTATTTTTTAAAAAAAATATATTATATTTATTTTTAAATTTATAGCTAATAATGGCGATTTAAAATATTTGGTTTTAAAATATAAGGGCCCGGGTATTTTTTTAAAAAATTTTCAGGCCCGGCCAGGGCATATTTAAAAAACACCGCTCGGACCGTATAACCGGGGCGAGCCTGCAGGTCTCTGAAAACGATCATAGTTTTTTTTAAGTTTTGTACAATAATAAAATCCATGAATCTTAAGGTCTAATCAAAATCAATAATATATTTTTTAAAATATTGTATACATAAGTGTGTTTTAAATTTAAGAAAATATTTAAATATCTGTGTGAAAAAATATGAATGCAAGAGGAATATCTAAACCATATTCATTTAAATTAATTTTAACATTTTGCTAGATATAATAATTCTTTATTAAAAACGAATTCAATTTAAAATGATGCATAATTTATAATAAAATATAGGCTTTTTAAAATAGGGATATCTTGCAGTTTATGAAAATGTTATATTTCTTCGAAAAGTATTTAATAAATATTTGCATTTTTCGGCTACGAGGGGGAAGGTGGCCCCCTTCTGACTACTTGCCTGACTGCTAAATAAATGTTTTAATACTAATATTAATATAATTGTATAAAAATATAAATTATGATTTGGTGTCACTTTCATGCCACACATTATCACGCCAACATTTTATCAAGACAACACTTTATCGTACATTTGGTCACATGGCACTTGATAACGTGACATCTATACATTTTGAAAATCAATTATTTTTATTTAAATAAATATTTGTTCACTCAAATTCCTTTATCTAGGACGGGCAAAAATTTTGCCATTTAGGATAAATTGCTAATAAATTGGCCCATAAAAAAAATATAAAATCCAGTTCGATCAATTTTTTAAAAATATTGTATAATATTATTTAATCAGTAATCATAAAATAAATTATTTAACATTCATATTTTCAATTTACCAAGTGAATTACTTCACAAAATACAACCAAATTGATTTAAAATAACGAAATTTTAAAAATCCAGGCCATAAAATGATCAAAATGTTAAAATCCAAGCCAAGGAAAAATAAGCCAGACTAGTTTTTAATTTTTTAAAAAAAAATATTACAAAATTATTAAATAAAAATGAATATATATATATAAGTATCGAAGGTTCTAAAAAGAGCTTAATTTAGTAATGAGTGTGTTCCTAAAAAACAAGTATAATTATGTTTAAAAGTTTCAAGTTGAAGTTTTTAGAAATATAGATGGTATTCGTTTTTCAACTCTATCATGTCTCTGATTTAAATATAAAAATTATTTGTATATTTCTAGTATTCTTGAGTGAAATTTAGAATTTAACTTCATGAATACCTATTTAAATAAGATATTTCTCAACTGTAACGAAATATGATTGACCAATTTGCTGAACTTTTAAGCTCCGTCACGTTGGCCGAACGATTGGAAGCACTAACGATGAATCATATGCCATTTTTAATGCTTCAATCCGTATAGAAGCCGAATTTAAGGAAAAAAAGTATAAGCAAAAATAAAAACTTGTGCCAACTTCACGTTTAAAAGTTGATTGAAAGCACTAACGATAAAATATATAAATCATTCTTTTGCTTTGTTAGTAGAGGTTAGTGCTTCAATCACTATTGCAGCTGAATCTAAGAATAAAAAATTATTTGCGAAAAAAACAAAAATAAACAATAAGGCGGCTAACCAAAACAAAAACTATAGTTGTACTAAACATCCGTTCCCAATTATTTAGTGCTTCAGTTACTAATTTGGTAAACCGCTATATGGAAAAATAGTTATATGCTAAATAAACGTTTTGAGGTCAAATTTTGGCCAGCAAAACTATGGAAGCACTAACGATGAAATTTATTTCATTCTTTAGTGCTTCGTTAGTATAGGTTAGTACTTTAATCAGTTTAGTAGCCCCTGTTAAAATAAAAGTTATTAAGGAAATAAACAGAGGTCACACACTAAAACAAAAAATAGAGAAACAACAAACACTCTATTTCGCCATTATTTATTAATAATTAGTAAATTAAAAATCAGTAATTAATTTAGTTAACCGCCTTATAAAGAAAAAGTTATTCAAGGTCAAATTTTGATCAGCGAAATTATGAAAGCACTAACGATGAAACATTTATCAATCTTAAGCGCTCCTAACATTTTAATACTCAAATATGGTAAATGATCTTCGGAAATAATTGATAGGCTAAGTGCAAAAGGTCAATAAGCATTTTTAATTACTTGTGACTTTTTATAGGGTTCCCAAACTAACGGAATTTAAATTTTACTAATTAAGCACTAAATAATGGTTGAAATAAGATGTTTGTCGCTGATATATTTTTTGTTTGTTAAAAATTTTTAATTTAAATTCGGCTAATAAACTGATTCAAGCACTAACCTTACTAACAAAGCACTAAAGACTTATATAAGTTTCATCATTAGTGTTTCCAATCGTTAGGCCAACTTCACGCCTAAATCGTAACGTCATAACTTTTATTTAGCTTATAACTTTTTTCTATAAAGTTTAACCAAATTACTTGCAAAATTTTAAATTACTAATTAAGCACTAAATATTAGCGTAAACCGGATGTTCAATACTACTATAGTTTTTGTTCTGACACGTCGCCATTATGTTCTTTTTTTTGCAAATAACTTTATTCTTAAATTCGGCTACAAAAATGATTGAAGCACTAACCTCTCCTATCGAAGCACTAAAGAATAATATAAGTTAATCGTTCGGCCAACTTTACGCCTAAATCATGACGATATATTTTTTATTTAGCTTATAACTTTGTGCAGTTAACTAAATTAGTAGCGGAATTTAAACATATTAATTAAACACTAAATATTGGCGAAAACTAAATGTTTAATGCTTTTATAGTTTTTGTTTTGGCACATTTGTTTATTTTTGTTTTTTTTAACAAATAACTTTTTGTTCTTAAAATTCGGCTACAAAAGTGATTGAAGCACTAAGCTCTACTAACGAAGCACTAAAGAATGATATAAGTTAATCGTTCGGCAAACTTTACGCCTAAATCATGACGATATAATTTTTATTTAGCTTATAACTTTGTGCAGTTAATTAAATTAGTAGCGGAATTTAAATATATTAATTAATCACTAAATATTAGCGAAAACTAAATGTTTAATGCTTTTATAGTTTTTGTTTTGGCACATTTGTTTATTTTTGTTTTTTTAGCAAATAACTTTTTGTTCTTGAATTCAGCTATAAAAGTGATTGAAGCACTAAGTTCTACTAACGAAGCACTAAAGAATGATATATATTTCATCATTAATGCTTTCAATAAACTTTTAAGCTTGAAGTTGGCACAAGTTTTTATTTTTGCTTATAACTTTTTTGCCTTAAATTCGCCTACTATACGGATCGAAGCACTAACAAGCACTAAAAAATGGTATGATTCATCGTTAATGCTCCCAATCGTTCCTTCATGGAGCTAGATTTTTAAAATAATTCAATTTTTTAAGTTTAATTTCTTTTGAAAAATAAATAATAATTTTATAATATTTAAATAAGTGTCCGGCAGAGGTCAAATTTTAAGTCCTGGTTTAGATTTTAGAATATTTTTGCCCGGTCCAATTTTATAAATATTTTAATTTAAATAATTTTGGCAGTATATTTTGTAAATAATTTAAAAGTGAAATTAAAATGTGAGCAGTAAATGAATACTAAATGATTCTTTTCTTTATGTGTTTTTCTCCTGATTAATTAATATAATTTAAAATTATGATAAAAAATTTGGCCACCACTCTCGGGTTTGTATTTTAAAAATATAACCATTTTATGAGTATTCAACCTAACAAAATTTTTGGCCCTTCTTAGAAAAAGAAATCTGAGGACAAATATTATTAAATATTTGTAATTAGAATGTGATTAAATATCGTGAGGCGAAATGTCTGCGCGATAAATTTGAGCATAATGATGTATACTGTGACGAAATATTACCAACTGAAAATAAAAGCTCTTACTGAAATCGGAAAAATTATATTTTGATTTTAAAAAATGGAGGGGTTTACTGAATCCTAGGCAATTATATTTTTAAGAATATTGACAAGTATTAAGAAAATTCACAATTTAAAAATACAAGGAAAATAAAGCTTTTATAATCTGCAAGCTCTGATAAGAATAATAAACTTGATATTTCGAAATTTACTTTTAAATTTCAGCTTTACATACTTAAAAAATATACAAAATATGTTAAGATAGTTTCAACAGATATTTTTTTTTTAAATTTAACATTCAAAAATAAAACTTGCATTTTTTGTTTAATAAAACATTCTTTTTATCAACATAGTACAAATTTAACCATGCTTATTTTAGACAAAAATTCTCATATTTTTTTTATTAGGACATACCCTTACTAGGCAATGAAGGGTTAAATAACTCGAATACTTAAACGACGTCAAAGCCAAGTAAAGGTGGGTTGGGGTAATTTTACGTGTAATAAGGTTAATCTGTGCCTTTGCAAAGGTGATATATCGGGTTTGCAAGTAAGATCGATGCTTGGTAGGAGATTATTATCCCAATCTATTTTATTGGATTTCCCGGAGCTCCATATATTAGACCAAATTTTGCTGTAATTTATGACCAAATTATTTTTGGCATCTGCGAATATATTTTATCAAATAAATTTATATATTAAACTCGATTTCCAAATCTTTTTCTTTTAAGTTAATTGGCATTTAATCCTTATTTATAACTCTCTAGCATCGTATTAATAAATTTTTACTAGTGGGAGGAATTTTTCAGATATGTTAGACACCAATCTCTCATCATGAAACAATTACTTTTTATGTGATAACAAATTCTACAACCAAATCGAAGGATCTGACTTTCTCAAAATTTTTTAAAAAAAAATCTTTAATCCAATCTCTCCAAGTCCTAAATATTGATAAAGATATACTGACGATACATTTATTGTTTAGCCACATGATCATAAATCTCTTGAAATTTTTAAAAATAAAATAACAATATTCATCTTATCATTAAATTCACTATGGAAATTGAATCCAATGACCAAAATATTTTCTTAGATATTATCAAATAAGGAAAGCTTGATGGTTCATTCGAATACCGCGTTTACAATAAGCCTACAAATACTAACCTTATTTACATCCCAATTCTTATCATCCTTCGCTAAAAATCTCAATAATCAAATCCCTTTTCCATCAAGCCTACAAATAAGTGTATTTTTACCTTTAGAATTAAAAAATCGAAATAATATATACTTATAAAAAAACGAATACAGTTCAAAAACTACAAATAAAGCGTCAAAAAATCAAAATAATATATCCGAAAATATTTGAGGCGAATTATATATCAATCCCTATATTAATAACATATCTAAGATTAGCAAATTACTAAAAAAAAACATTTGGCTATCAAACCAAACCACCACCAAAACTTATGAATTTTATTTTCAATCCCAAATGTCCCATCTCAGTCACCTATAATGACCAAGTTACATTTTCTTGTAGTAAGTTCAAACCTGTCGCACAATCAAAACGCGATCAAAAGAGCATTAATATCACATAAACAATATTCAAGTCTCAGCCCTAGCGGAGTACATACAATATACACTTATCCTAATTAGGGCTGTACAGATCAGGGTCGGTCAAATACGTTCGGTCAATTAAACGATATTTGACCAGTCAATTGACCGACATGCCAAACCTGGTACAGATATTAATATCGATATAGAATAGGAGCCGATATTAGACTTTTTAAGAAATTTAACCGCTACCGATTTTATACATATTTTTATTTAATTTTAATAAACATTTTTATTTATTTTTGAACTAATTTTCCTTTCTCGTAATAAACCTTCATAACTCCCATATAAAAGCGTGAAGGAAGGGGTCACTTATAAAATAAAAATGTTTAATGTTTACTTTACATTTTTTAACGATAGAAGTAAAGTATATTAAAATAAACTAATATAAAAGATTACCAAAAATTTTTGTGTACTTTTATTTTTATTTTGTTTTTATTAAGAAAGAACTTATAGTAAATAAAAATCATTCGAATTTAAATTTATCAATATTTTCTCTCCAAATTTTAATTATTTCATTAATTGATATTCATGTTTAATTTATTTTTATTTTAATAAAGATTCATAGTTTGTTAAACAAAAAATTCCACTGGCGTATCCAGGATTTTGCTATGGGGGGGCACTATTAGGTGAATTTTTTCCCCATAAATTTTGTTGGAGATCATTTAGTCCATATATGGTAGATCTTTTGCTATATTAGATTTTTATAAAAATAATTTTGGGTTAAAATACCTTAATTTAAAAAATTTTGAATTATAGTCGTTTATTTTAAAGAGTGATTAATATTACTTTCAAATTCTTCATTATAATGATATATTGTATATATTTTTGGAGAAGTGAAGGAAGTGAAGGAGAGAAAATTTTATTAGCTTATAATGGTATTAACGAAAATAGGGAGATTTGCGATGGGGGGGGGGGGGGTAATTTCCACATTCCCTACCCCACCATGCCTGGAAAATTCATATAGTATATAAATTTATACTTATTTGTTATTTTTTAAGGGTTATAACTTAATAAAATATGACATTATTCTAGGAGTCATTTAAGAATAACTTAAGTTTCATAAATTGTTAAGACTAGTGACTAGTGTTATTGAACTGCTCGAGTTGAGCCGATTTTTAAAAACAGCGAACTCAATATTAATATAACGCAAGCCTGAAAATTTTTCTCATAGATGGCACAAAGTTAGGACTTCTATTAACGAAATCTTAAGGCTTAGGCAATATTTTTGTGGCTAAATCTTGAGTTAGCCGTTTTTAAAAATTGGCTCAAATTGAGCCATTTAACAACACTACCAGTGAATTGACATTTTTTAATACACTAATTCAAATATGTATTAAATGTATATAATCGGCGTATAAATCATTATAAAATAAATGTCTCGAAAAAGGACATTGTAAGGATAAAATTTTTAATAAAATTTGTTAAATTTAAATAATATATAAAATTAAATATTGGAGATATAGATTAATGCACGAAAATATTCTTAAGAATTATTGCATATATAAATTTTCAAAATATTCATAAAAAATATGGTGTATCTAAAAATTAGTTTTGTTATATGGCTGATTTGAGCCAATTTTAAAAACAACAAACTTAATATTTTAGCTATAAAAATTTGCCTAGATCTTAAGATTTTGCGAATGGGTGTTCAAGCCTTTGTGCCATCTATAAGCAAAATCTTCCGGCTTATGTAACATTTGTCTGGATAAAATATTGAGATAGCCGTTTTTAAAAATCGACTCAAATCGAACCGAACAACACTACTAAAAATAGTAAAAAAATAAGAGAAGTATATTATAAATTTATAATGTAAAAATCAATATTCTCGGGATTAAGCTAATTTTTCAATGATTTCACCAGTGCTTGGCGTTAACTCCCTCTCATCCAATCTATTTTTAGAGGTAGTATTTCTTACATATTGTTGTAGTTTTGTAATATTATGATATATATTTGTGCATATATATTATAAAATGTCAATCAAAAAGAATATATTTTATTTATTAGTTATTTTATCGAGAATTGATATTCAAACACTTGGTATTTTTTTGTTTACTTTTTTACTTTTGACTTTTGATAAATATATTATAAGGGATTAATTTTTTATGTTTTATTAGAAAAAACAAAAACTTTTATAAAAATGGAAATGATTTAATTTGATGTTTTACTTTGAAAATAGACTATTGGAAATTTTGTGATTTGAATAGAAATATTGTTATATTTGAAAAATATATATATAATAGATAGAAATAAAGAAATAGAAAAATTAAAGAAATATTAAATTGGTGCCGTGGATTTGTGGATAATTTTGCAAAAATAACAGCTCCATTATATGACTTATTAAAAAAAGGCGTTAATTTTGAATGGAAAATTGAACAAAGAAATGCTTTTGAAAATTTAAAGAGAAAAATTGGTGAGGAACCAATTTTAGTGTGTTTTAACAATGATTTGGAGATAATTCTTGCGGTTGATGCAGGGGCGGACTGGCGACGCTACGGCTTCGTGGGCATTTTTTATAGCGGCTTCATTTATATGGGGGCTTCGCCCCCTTCCCTTATATGGCTTCTTCGATTTACATGATTTTTATTACTTCTTATTTTTGAAAATAAGTTCAAAAGATTTACATTTTTAGTAAAAAAAAGAATAAGTATTTATAATTTATTTTTAAAAAATGCACATCTAAAATCATATTCACTACCAATATAAAATAATATTCATTGCACATATATATTTTTTTATATTAGATTTATAACGATATTGCACTATAAAATCAAATCATACATCTGTTAAATATAAAAATACATACTTAATATATCAAATCTATTAATTTTACACATATAATTATTGCAGTTATACAATATTACAGCGTATAAAATTGCTGCACTTATAAAATCAGGCACCGATCATATTGTAAATAGATATTAATAAAATTCAAATAAAAGAATTAAGGAAATATATAATTTTTACGTTAATAAATCTCTCATTAATTTTGAACCTTTACGCAAATATACAGGAATATCTTCTAGTTCAATCTGCGCCAATGGTTCTCATTCAACTGACATCATTAAAAACGCTTCTAATTTTTCTTGGTCAATATTAGATCTCAGCTTATTTTTGTAATTTTTAATTTACTAAATGTTTTCTCGCAATTAATTTGCGTAAATGACAAAGTTAAAATGTATTCATATGCCAATAAATTAGTGTCACTTGTATGCATATTGCATCTTTTAAAAATTTCATACGTGCATATTCAACATTTGTTACACTTATTATCACACTCTGAGTTATTATGATATTGTAATATTCCTTCTTCTTCATTTGGCTCCTCACTTGTTCATACGATCATCTTCCATTTCATTTATTCTGCTACCATATCTTTGAATATACTGGCAAATGAACGTTATTCGTTACGTAATTTAACACGCAATATATATATCTTTACTATTTATTTCATCAAGATAGAAATCCTGAAATCATACTTCCCAACCTCATCGGATTTTTCACACATTTTAAGAGGAAATTAAAAATTATTCTATCTGCTGAATATCCTCAGCAATATAAGATTTGCAATCTAAATTTTAAATAGTTAAACATTTTAAAAGGGGGTATATCATTAAATTATTTTTCTGGCATCCCCTTCCTTTAGAGCCTGGCATAATTTCCTTCTTTTTTCTTTTTTTCTCTTTAGCTTTCACCTTTTCTGGTGGTAAGCTCCTTCAACATCTCTCTCCACTTTATGTTATTCATACAATCTCTTATATCTAATTTATACTTCTTTATATTGGCTCTAACTTTATGGCCCCATTGAAGTTTTGGCCTTCCTCTTTTACGTTTGCTCATCACTTCCAAGCTCTCAACCTTATTTCCTATGTAGTTAGGCCTTCTCATTGTGTGCCCATACTACCTAAGTCTGTTTACCATTAACTTAGTCTACCTTTAAACTACTTAGTATTCTTGTACTGCGCACTTTATCCTTTCTTGTTACCCCAGCAATCATCCTCAGCATTCTCATCTCCATAGTTTGTAGACTTCTCTCGTCTGATTCCTTGGTTGG